CTGGACAGATCACGTCAAAGATACGTTGCAGGAGTATGGCATCATCTACCGCGACGTCAAACCCAAGAACGTTCTGCTCTCTGCATATGATGAGGTGGACTACAGATCAAATTCATTCAAATTCCCTGGTCAGTAGCCATTTCAGGTATATACCTAAATCGGAGGTACCTACTTGTACCATATGTATCCATATTGTGTGAGGTCTGTAAGGGCTAATATAGGTAGATATATATCCCCAACATTTTACAGTAAGTACCTCCAGCACAAGTACCTGAAATGGCCACTGATGGTAGTCTGTGACCCCTTTTAACGGTTTTTTGACGGTCTCAGAAGACATCTCATCACCAGCATGTTTGTTTGTCTTCAGACAAATTCGGCTTGCTTCACAAACTTGACTTCGCAAATGGGCAACTGCTTTCGGCTGGTGACTGGAGTAATCACTGTGGAGATGTGCACAGATTGAGTAAAATCATGAAGATGTTAAATCCACTTCAAATACCGCTTGACTTCAAAACCAATCCAAAGAGAGTCTCACGAGTCTATGCAGGATGGACGGTGGACTGAGTGAATCTTGCAGTGCCCTTCTGCTGTGGAGGCAAAGTTGGCAGATTTTGGCTTGGCCTTATACGTCGGGAGAAAGTTTTTCAGTGTGCCTTGCTCAGGGAAGCGGATGGCAACGGGCCAGGGGGGGATTGACAGTTTGTGTGATTTTCTTGTTTGAAGCTGAAGGGACAGCACAAACTTCCAATTCCACATGTTTTTGGAAGCTGTTGCAAGGGGTGGCCTACTGTAGTGCTTGGTATCGGATGTATATAATTTCATTAAGATTCATTGGCGGGTTGGAGATTCAACGGAGATCCATTTCCCCCAAAAGAGTTCTTTTGAGCTGATTCCTCGCATCAAAGAAACCGCAAAGAGTCGTGCCATCTGAGAGTGAGAATGCTCTCATTGCAGAACACACTTTGGAATCATTCAACGAATCAGCCTGCGTCCTTCCGCCAAGCTTTAATGCCTTTGAGCAGGATTGTCAGGGTGACTCAGGTTCCCAAGGTGTGTCAAGAGGACTCAGGATAAGTGTGAACGTCTCTGCGTAACAGTTTCATCCCCAAAATGATTTAAGGAGCAAAACCAGGAAACCAAAAGCTTGCTACATGCCCCACATCCTCCACTCGCTGCATTGGGAACTCTCCTGATTGTTTTGTCCCTCCCAGCGCAGGAACAGGAGATGCCTCTAGCCGGCACACCAAGGTGCCTTTATTGAGCTGATTGTTTGATGGTATTTGAATGTATTTGACACTTGTGCAGACATGACTTTCACAGTGGACCCAGCTGCTAGACGGGATTCTGATGCCAGCTGTTGGTGTGTCAAGTGAGAAAAGAGCAGAATGCATTGAATGCACATTGAGAGTTGGGGGCTCATCAACCTGAATGGGGCTGGGACCTAGGAGTGGCTTCAGGGATTCGCTACACCAAAGAAAGGAACACAGCAAGAAACAAGAACTGTCAAGAACCGCTATTTTATATTTGTTGTGAGATATCGTGAGATTGTAATCATATGAAAAAGTATCATATGCGGTCGTTTATTTTTTTTCCATGTAATATATAATAGCAATTCATACAAATATGTTTCGTTATTTTTATTCAACCATATTCAACCATATTTCATAATCTATATCTATATCTATATATATATATAATTATATATATATATATTATATATGAGAATACATATAGAAATACATTTAGTTATCTCTCGAATGAATGTTTGGCCCACTGCCTGCCGCAGTTTCTGGGCGCCAGAGCTTATCCTGGGAGTAGAAGGCTCTCGGGCAGCTTTAGGATCTTCATGATATCTTAAAGATCTGTTTAGCGTGGAGAAAGGCTTGAGAAAGACGCAGTGGAAGAACTCTGAATTCGCTGTGACTGTTAATGGTGACAAGAGTGTCTCCTGGTTTAGCACTACTGTGAAACCAGAACATAGGAGAACATCGGCGAAAAGTTACCAGTAAACTTATGTAAACTTTGTAACATAGTGCCTGACATATTGCCTGTTGGTCCAAGCATTCCCCGACCATTATCAGTACAAGCCTGCAATCCTTTTCCATCCTTTTCGGCTAGTTTCATTTTGTGAAGTAAAATTGATTGTAATTTAATTTGACGCATCATCACATCATGAATGTTGATGTTTTGAATTAAAGGGATTAAAGGGGCAGACTGGATTGGGATGGGTTGGGTTTGGAGCGGAAGTCTTGAGCATGCTGGTGATGCCACGTTTCACATTGCAGGGCTAGGCCAATGATACTGCAAACTGGGAGGTTTGGTGTGATGTTGACTCTTGTTTGCACCTGCACACCGATCCAATATGATCCAATGCTGTGCAATGTGCCGAGCTGTTGCTCGTGATCTGTTTCCCCAGATGTTGCAGACTTCCGCCAATTGTGCAGCTACCTGGTCGGATCTTTCCATGACCTTACAACAACTTCAGAGTGTCGATGGTAGCTCGCCATAACATACAATTAGAATAAACGCTGTCGTACAGACCAATATAATCTACAGTAATACAGTATAGAAATGTAATGAAATGTACAAAATTCTTCAGTTTTATTTGTCCTCGTGCTCTAAGTATCTCCAAATGCAAGTTGGCATGCTTAAACACCTGCCCGGAAAGGCAAGAGGGTTTATCAAGTAATCCCCCTGAAGAAAACTACTTCAGGATGACAGAATGGAATTGCGCTTTTCCACGCCTTTCAGTGCGGATACTGTGTGATTCCTCCAAATCTTCAAGGAGTCAGACCTGTGCTTTTTTGAAAGTCTCACGCACCTTGCAAAGATGATAAAGAGCTATTTCAGAGAAAGCGCATACAGACAGTTTGCAGGTCCGGTCCACGAAGTCGCATTTGATCCCTTCAAGACGGACGCGTGACCACATGGCTGGCCACTGTCTTCTGAACGTACAAGACAGGTTTTCCTGTTCGGTGTGCCAAAGGACAGACAGCGAGACAGACTTACAACAGCTATGCCATTTGCCAGTTTTGTTTGGTTTGCACTATAGTATGGCGATAGCGGCAGTCCTGCCACAAGACTATTTGCGACTTTGCAACTTTGCATCAAGCAGCATTCTAAAGCAACCAAGATGCTGAGACTGTGAAGAGCTGCGTTGAACCCTGCAGGTACAGTTTCGGAGTGACCCTGCTTCTGATGCTCTTGGGGGAGGCTCAAAGCCTATTTGCAGCAAACATTTGTTTTTTCAACATTTTTCAACAGCAAAACTCAATCCGATTCAAAGATGTTCAAATATTCAAAGCGTAGGGTCCCACAACAGGACTGCGCTGATGTCCAAGCTGACGATGATGACTGCACGCCAGGGGCTCAGGGGTGATGTACGCCAGTAGAAATCCCGGGCACGCAGCCTTGAAACAGATTTTCCAAAATAGAAGGCATCTTGAAATCATTTGAAATCAAAGATTTCTCAATTCTCAATGTTTTTTTTTGTTTCCCCAGATTTGATTTCAAGGAATTTATATTAATGAACCCGTGTCTTCGGGAGATCCATTGCTTTCAAGTTGCTTTTGACGGAGTTGACCCAGCATCAGTCTTGATTTTATATGATTTTATTAGGTCAAGATGTGTGGCTTCACAATTTAGGAGCTACAATGGAGCTGCATTTGATGATTCGTTCATGCCACAAATATAGCCAGATTGTGTTTACCTCTGAAAGGCAAATCATAGGCGAAGTATTGGTATGTACAATATACCATATTGTATTGCCGTACATTGTTATGACTTATAACATATTATAGTATTTTATATTCCAATATGTAATATTATTTGTTATCTTGTTATATATATATTTTGTTATAATGTGTTTTATGGAATCATATTGTACAGTATTGTATTGCACTTTATTAAGCTATATATACTGTATTGTATTGTATTGTTTCGTATTATACAATATACAATATTTTTATTAAAGATTATATATTAATTTATTCATTCACTATATATGATACATTGTGTATCATTTTTTTTTTTAAAAATACATTATATAATTATATATTATATATTATCTATTATTTACTATATATCATATATATATATATAATCATATATATATAGAATCATATATATATATTGTATTATATTATATTAAATATTAAATATTATATTATATTTTATTTTATGTTTATGTATATTAATATATATACAATATTACATAATGTATATATGTTATAAGACATATATTTTATAATTTATATATTTCATATTATATATATTATATGTTTTGAAATTTTTTAATATTATTAATATATGTATATATCTATATATATAATATACTTCAGGAGGAACAAAGTTTATGCTTCTTGAAAGCTTTACAAAACATCCATCTCTGTCAACTGCGAATCACATTTTCAAGCCCGTTTTGTGTGGCAGGTGTGGGAGGGTCAATTATCACCCTCTTTTACACATATAAGATTTTAAAGCTTTTGGAGGGTGGTACTGGTAATGCGACCGGGGTACGACAAGGCTCCATGCTAGGATTCTACGGGGAAAGGGTGTGAAGAAGAAGAAACCAAACATGTTCACTGTGGGAAGCTCAACAAGCGCAACTTTTGTCCTACCAGTGCGTCACGGCACATGTGTAGCAGTGCAGACAAAGAGGGTGGAGACAGACATGTTATGTGGAGTAATGACCGGGCTGAAGCAGGTGCAAAAATCAGCAAATGATTTGGCAATTCCCACTAAATAAGCTTTTTGTACCCTGCGTCACGGCACATGTGTAGCAGTGCAGACAAAGAGGATGGAGACAGACATGTTATGTCTGTCTCGTGGAGTATTGGCCAAGCTGAAGCAGGTGCAAAAATCAGCAAATGAATGCCCACTACATAATTTTTTGTACCCTTCAGGAGGAACAAAGTTTATGCTTCTTGAAAGCTTTACAAAACATCCATCTCGGTCAACTGCGGATCACATTTTCAAGCCCGTTTTGTGTGGCAGGTGTGGGACGGTCAATAAAAAATCTTCTTTTAAACATATGGGAGCCGTCCGTAAAAGCAGGTCACAAATTTATGAATTGATGCGTTTACTTTGCTTTGCGCGATTGCTAAAACCTGCATCGCGATAGGCTGAGCGATTGGTTGGCAATTGGTTATACGGCTACCACCCTATTACTACTACTACTACTACTTCTACTACTACTACTACTATTACTACTACTACTACTGCTACTACTACTACTACTACTTTTACTACTAGTACTGCTACTAGTACTGCTACTAGTACTGCTACTACTACTACTACTACGACTACTACGACTACTACGACTACTACGACTACTACGACTACTACGACTACTACGACTACTACGACTACTACGACTACGACTACTACTACTACTACTACTACTACTAGTACGACTACTACTACTACTACTACTACTTTTACTTTCGAGACCAGAACCATGCCAATAATTGACATGGCCGCGCGGATTCCGCGCGCGCGGAATCCGCGCAGATGTTTTCAGGTCAGAAGGACATTCAAGCTAGCTCCAATTGAAAACAGGTCAGAAACAGGTCAGAAACAGGTCAGAAACACCAAAAAGGCAGCACTTGCCTAGCATCCCATCCATCCATCCATCCATCCATCCATCCATCCACCTCAGCTCTTATCATTGCTACTTCTACTATTACTATTACTGCTATTACTACTATTACTACTTCTACTCCTCCTCCTCCTCCTCCTACTACTACTACTAGTAGCACTAGTACTAGTATTTGGGGCACTAGTAATGATATTACTTCGACGATCACTAAAATTGTTCCTAGTTTGACTGCCCGTGCTGATTTTTTTGAAGTTGAAGAAGACTCCGGGAAAGGTCAGAAACAGGTCAGAAACATGTCAGAAACACCAAAAAGGCAGCACTTGCCTAGCATCCATCCATCCATCCATCCATCCATCCATCCATCCACCTCAGCTCTTATCATTGCTACTTCTACTATTACTATTACTACTATTACTACTATTACTACTATTACTACTATTACTACTATTACTACTATTACTACTATTACTACTTATCAAAATTCAGAGGCACTGAAAGCATGGTTTCTGAAAGGTCATGAACGTAGGGGGGCGGACCATGGGTACACAGTGTAGGTACGTGGGTGCGATGTGTAGGTACGATGGGTGCGGTGGTGGGTGCGATGGGTACGGTGGGTACGATGTGTAGGTACGATGGGTGCGGTGGTTGGTGCGATGGGTGCGGTGGTGGGTACGGTGGGTACGATGTGTAGGTACGATGGGTGCGGTGGTTGGTGCGATGGGTGCGGTGGTGGGTACGGTGGGTAGGTACGATGGGTGCGGTGGTGGGTGCGATGGGTGCGTTGGTAGGTACGGTGGTGGGTGCGGTGGGTACGATGTGTAGGTACGATGGGTGCGTTGGTGGGTGCATTGGTGCGATGGGTAGGTGCGATGGGCGCATTGAGAGGTGTAATGGGTGCGCTGTAGGCACGATGATGGTGAGTGCGTGGGTGCGATCGTCTAGGTGCAATGGGCGCACTGAGATGTGGGATGGGTCCGGATGGTAGGTGCGTAGGTGCGATGTATGAGTGTGATGGGCGGGTTGGGAGTTGCAATGATGGGTGCGGATATGTACGGATGGTAGGTTTGTGGGCGCGATGTGTAGGTGCGATGGTGCGATAGGTAGGTGCGATGGGTGTGTTGCAGGGTCCAATAATAGGCTGCGGGTGCGTTGGTAGGGGTGTTGATAAGTGCTTTATAGGTGCATTGGGGTTAGGTGGGTGTATAGTTGATCGAGGTTAGTTCTGTGTTAGTGCAGCCAATGCTAGTGCGACACAATTACTCGCTTCTTAATCTGATAGTCCCTGCTGAAACAGGCGCTCTGGACCATCTTCAAACTAGTATATTTTCATGTTTAGAGTTGATTGTTCAACATGATTTGTGTTTGATTTCTGACAAACATTGTACATTTATCAAATTTTGTTGGGTTTTGTGTAGCGGCGTAATGATTTCCAGCACAAAAACAGCACACTGACATTCAAGACTAACTATGGTACATGGTTGAAATGGGAGCCATCTTTTGTGCCGAATCTTCTATAAAATTGGATGTGCGCTCTGGGCCTCGATGTCTAAAAATTGGAACTGGACAATTGTTGCGTTGCACATTGCACATGTAAGGCATAGGCCAAGCTTGGGCCAAACTCAAAAGAAACAAAAACTACAGCAGCTACAGCCATGCAGCATACAACTATGCATAAATTCAAGCTCACCTCATGTACACAAGGGTGGACTTGCAAAACACCAAAATAACAAACAAAATGACAAACCGTTTCAAACAAAACACAGAAAATGCACAAGCAAACAAAACAACAAATTCCAACATTCAAAAACACCTTAAACAATGAACGCATATTTTTGTCAATCTTTTTTTGGTACCCCTAATGTTTCCTTTTTTTTTGAATATAATTTTTCCTGTTTTTTTATGGGTTTCGGGTCAAATTCATTTTTGTCTAACTGTCGATGATTTGCATGTCTTTTCCCTGTTCCGGGTTTGGGTTTAGCCGGCATGGCCATTTATTTGTTTGCTAAAATTTGAGAACGTATCAGCCACAGACTTGGGCGAGTCATTTTTATCGTTTTGTTTCATTTTGAATGTGATGTGGTTTTCTCACCTTTTGTTATCATCTTTAGCACCATTTTAGAACCATTTTCATTCGTTTCATGTCAAACTTGCGGATGGTCAGCCAGCGTCTTAGTGTGAACACTTCTGCAGGTCTTTGTAACCAAGGGCTCAGCTGTGCATGATCTAAAGACCAAGGAAAATAAAGAGAGAGAAAGTGGAAACATGAATTCCAAAGGAGAAATATGGAAACAAACTGAATCCCACAGGGGGAAACACATAAAAACCGGAATCCTACATTAAACAAACAGGACAAGAGGAACACCATGACCCAAAATAAAGGACGGAAACAAAAAAGCAAAACATACCTTGGAAAAGTTGTTTTTCCAGGATTTCCATGGAAAACAAGTCGGGCACCATGAACTTAGGTATTTCCCGCCGGGGACCAAGACTTAGGACCTAGGACCTAGGACTCACGACCCAGGATGTGGACATCTAAGAATCCAACCCAAATTTGATTTAGAATGTTGAAAACAATTTTTCATGTTTGGTGAACTGTGACAGCTTGCGCACGAATTTCACTGATTTTTTTCATCCTCCGCACCCCTTTGCAAACACCTGCAATCAAAAGCAAGGAACGTCCCAAAGCCCCAACCAAGAGACAAGAAACGCCCAACAGGAAAACATGATGATTGTGATGATAATAAATGGCATGAAAGATGAC